ACCTGCCAAAATATGAAGTGTTCTCGGATAATGTTCTTCACGGCGTCGTTGCTCCACACATCTCTGTTGAGGCACTGGCAAGCAAAGTCCTGAACATTTTGTATGTTGATCATTAGCCACTTATTTTCAAGCTGTCCACAGTCTTTAGCCTAAGAGACACAGAAAACAGTCAAATGCCATCAAATATGTTTCAACGATTTATCAAATCAATTTTTAAATATGAATTTGGGGAAAAAAAAAAAAAAAAAAGATGCACTTGAAAACTACTTGAGCCCCCATACTAACTGACCCACAAAACAACTGTTGCAGAGTAAAACCACTGGATGTTTTTTACATAAACATATCTTTTCTACGCCACATCTCTTCAGACCGCCGGAGGGATCATATATAACATAAATGTCCAGTTTCCACTTCACTCCTAATCTTATGAATAAGCAACGACAGAATGAAATGACAGTCTGCCGGGTTTCACTTGGCTTCCCACCTGTGATCTAAACAGCCATTGTTAGAAATTACACAAAAAGTCCAGTTAAACTGAAGAAAGGTGAGGTGTAGAGTGACTCCTCACCGTCTCAAAGCTGCCTTTGTGCATGAGCTCAATGGGGGGACGGAAAAGGTCTGCCAGAGTGCTCAGTTTCTTGTCCACGGTTCCACCGTTGCGCAGCTCCTGTTCCTGACGAACTTTTAGAGAAAAACATTCCAAATCCTTATAGCAAGTTAACGCAATGCAATTGAAAAATTAAGAAACTTTATAGTCAATTCCTGCCAAGAAAAATTAAACTGTGAAATGTTTCAAATATCAAATATTTTAGGATATAAAGTACACACTCGTTTCTGTTTGAAAGTCTCGGAAACCGTCAAATATAGACCGAGCTGGCCGTCTTCGCTTTGGTACTGAAAACATGAAAATATACAGGAAAAAAAAAAAGAAAAAGATATCAATAGTTGTAAGGGACAACATTCTGGTCATTTGGTGGAAAAAATAAGAACTTCTCCAGTACCTCCAAACAGAGGTTCGGGCTCCACTAAAATGTCCTGCTTCTGAGGAATGGGCGCTCGTACTTCACTGAAATATTAAATAACATATAGACAAAAGCAAAACGTTATTGTTAATCGACACATTTTCATTCAGAGCTTTGTTATACCAGCTCAATGCAATAAAAACCAGGTCCATTCTGACGCTAAAGATGACACAATCAGTTTAGCTCACTCTGTAGGGGGCGCTCTGCTGCTCGATGCCGCTGAACTGGAGCTGGTGCTGGGCTCCTCTGCCATCCCACCTCCATCCAGGAACATGGTCACGGCCATCTCCAGGTTATTGTTGCATGCTTCCAGCATGTGTTTTCCAACACTCTCTGTGGCCCCTGACACAACGACAACAGCCGATCAAATTTAACGCCGTCATAATGCTGCAGAGAGCATGAAACAATTCACTGTTCAGAAAATCTATTGAGAATTAATCAACGGCTAATTTAACTCTCTTACATCATTTTAATACATTTCCAGAAGGACAAATGTTCATTTTAAAAATATTGATAAAAGCATGCGAAAAGAAAATGTATGATAGAAAAGCCACTAAAATTGTAAACGTTTACAATTTTAGGGAAACAATTTTAATGAAACACTTTGCAACTGCCCAAGTAATTAATTTGATAATGGATGTTATGGCACTCTGAGATTTATTACAATAGAATGACACTCCAATTACACATGCTTTTTTTTTTTTTTTATTTAAATATTGTACATATTTAGTCCAAGGATCTGCTATTATTACCTGTAGAATAAACTATTGGACTTTCTTTCCCCCTAATTATGTAAATACTAAAAACAAACAAACAAAGACAAAGAATTAGAATATAAAAGCAGCAATACTTAAGCAAGATATTTATTTTATTCTGATCAATTCTGTTGAAAACACTTGTTAAGTATGGACTTTGTCTATTCTTAATCTGTACTGCTGTCAGTCTTTACCAAAACACTCGTGGAAATATAAACAACTTTTTGTTATAACATATTTTTTACATATGGAAACATTGTTGGTATGTGGAGGATTAACTGGAGAAATATCATGTACATATTGCCATGTCTCTGTGACAATGGAAGGGTGCCAAAGTCGTAGTTGGGGTTATTTGTTTCGGGAAGGGCAGGAGGAGCAACAACGATTTTTTTTTTTTAAGTCTGACGTTCAGATTTTATTACGAACTTATAAGCCAGCTACTGCCTTAAAGTTCATGTAAAATATGCACCCGGTTTCAAAAGAATCTGAAGGAAATCATAAAAACGAAAAACTCTGGCTATTTCAAGTTTTGCAAGTTTTTGCAAGTCACTCGTAAAAACCTGGAATGGATTTAAATCATCCATGCCGAAAAATAAATGTTGCAAGTGGACGTATACAACAAATGGACTGTTTCCATTAAACTAAAGCGTCAAAAACCCAACAGCCAGTCGAAGTCTTCCGCCTGTACTGCGCATGACCGTTTCACTTTTCAAGTCTGATGGCCCCTGTTCTCACTCTGCTCTCCTCTTCAATAAATAACTTAAAACTGAAACACTGTACATCATCTCAAAGCACTTAAAAACTATTCCGTACGAATGTGCTGACTGTCTAAGGCAGAAGCGGTATCTGTCCAGGTATTTTAAGTGACGGCGACGGTTAATATGACAGTAACCCAACATGAGGCCGGAGATGAAGAAGGGGAATGTTCTACAGCCGACGTCCATTCCACACTCACGGAAAAGAAGCCATCCAAAGAGCAAAAAAAAAAAAAAAAAAAAAAAACTGTGACGCCTACAAATGTGTTGAGTGATATCACTTTAACAGGGAAACAAATTGTCTGTTGAATGAGTAAGAAATGCAATTTTCAAAGCAAGTAGCTGTGTAAACCCTTTACATGTAATTTTATCATAGTTTAGCTGAAACTGCCTCTGCTTCTCCACTCTGCAAAGCATTGACAGCGAAGGAGCCACAGCGACACTAAAGCGTCCATTTTCCTTGTCTGCGCGCTGCTCCATACATTTTGTGGAAAGAGAACTAGTGCCTTATGACCCCCCCAAAGCAACCTATTATTTATAAAGCTTAATGTAAGCTTATTTTTACCTGTTATTGCTGTGAATTGTTGAATTAACCCGTTCACCCCCGGAGCTGAGGTGTCTCCGAGCGCCGCCATCTTACCGCCACAAACAACAACATACAATGCAGCGCATGCGCTTAGTGGTCTTTTTCGCCTCAACGTCTGGTGCGGCGCGAACCCACTACACGCTGGTGCTGCATTCTGGATCATGTAGTCATAATATGTGTTTAAGGCATACAACGGACTTTAAAATGAATAACCATCACTCAGAGAATCTTTATATAGTTTCTTGTCGTCCTTATTGTTTCTTATGGATTCATATATTTACACAAACTGTACTGCCCATAAAATAGAGACTGAAATGTTAATGTAAACTAATTAACCAGAATAACCTTAAACAAACTGGTTTACAACTGCAGTTATTTCCTGATTTTATGGGCTGAAGTGTAGCTTAGAGTTGGATAGTAATAGTGGAATACAATCACATAATTTCAAATCAAGCTTCGAAAAGGTACTGGTCATGACAAGTAATGAATGAAACTACACTTTTTCTTCTTAAGTAGTGTAACTTTATTCTTATTTGCATATTACATTCATTTTGCAAAGAGCATCAACTCATCAGATCTGACAACAAGGAGCTGAAAGCAGTTTGTTTTAACGCTCCTACTTGACCAGTGAGGTTTTGTTCTGTTCCTTTTCAGAATCTCACACACATCTGTTGTGCTGCCTGGCACAAACACAATAAAACATCACTTTACAACGCGAGGGTGACGATGGCACAAGCCACCTACATTATGAGATGTCCAGTATTTACAAACAAACATTGTGGCACTTCCAATTCAGTTTGCTATTTCTTTTTATTTAGGTAAACTGAATTTAAATTGACAATCACATTAGTAATGCGTAACATCCTCGTAGATAGTTTTATATGGTTCCATAGCTGCTGTATGGGCTAAAGGTTTTAATAGGATCTCTAATTCTTAACATTAGGTTTTAAAAAGGCAGTTGCTTCCTTTGACAATTTGTTGCCATTTAAATGACTCACTCTATGGTATAAACTAGTTTTATCCCGACATTTTTATGTCTACAAAAAACTGTAGGTTTTGTCAATTAAAGCCCAGTGACATAGACATTAGATGACAAGAGAAAAAGTGAACTTAGTTTAGCACTTTATTTAGTATTTGTTTTCTGATAAGTTATTCTGTGATCTTTTATCCCTGAGGTGTGACATCTTTTTATTTTAAAGATGCATCACTAGTCAGTTGGACCAGGGAGTTATTCATGAGCACCTAAGACTTATGAACAAACTTGCCAGATAATGTTAGATAGATTTGAGTGGTCTTGTCATTATTTGATCTAAACAACCCTAAAGCAACTATGATTTGTTGATATTCATAAATTCTAAGAGCAGACTATTCATATCTAAATGTGTTTGGATGTTTTTGTGCCAACGCTGAGTTTATTTTGCATTTGTAAACACTTTTTGATCGGTCCAGCCATTAGAATATACATTTAACTCTGATACAATCTACATTTTATTGTCAGGTGTTTAAATAAAATGGATGAACCACCTGGTGAAAGTAAATGTGAGCAAGGGCTGTAATCAGAGGCTGTTTCAAGCTTAAGGAAAAAAAAAATGTGACAGTACCATGGATACCATCTGTATGGATATCTTTTGACATTATCGTGAGTTTTACTTTGCTGCAGGGGTCTCTAATCAGCTGTTAAACCTATTTCATAAAATATTTGAAGGAATAGACAAGGCTGCCGGGCAACAAAAGATGTCCCTTTGTTACGATGTCAGTTTATTTAAAATGATACAGAGATAAAAAATGTCGTTCTTTAAAGGACTGCATTAGCCTGCTTTTTTAGCCTGCTTTTAATTATCAGATGTTTTAAGGCTTCACTTTCTATGTTTTTTCTTTTTTATTATTCTCTAGATCAAGATATTAAGTAAGCTGAAGCAGAAATCAGAAAACCATATTTGTTGATTATATATTTTTCTTCATCTTGTTACAATTTCCCTTTAAATGTTTGATCTGGAACTCGTCTTTTCTTCAGGTTCAGTTACGCCAACAGCATCGAAGTGGTAAAACATACGAAACACACACACAAAAAAGAGAAAAGAAATCCCCAAAACAGTAATATCTGTCTCCCTTTCCGGTAATATAAGAACAGTGCAACTTCATTGATGTGTTTGGTAAGAACGATTCCTTATTTTCCTGATGGCCACAGCAGGTCTGGGGCGCCTAACTGTATCCCACATGCAAACAAATTTGAAACAAAAAGGGAAAAAGAAAAAACAAACAAACTACAAAGTGCAGAAGAAACACGAGGAAATGAGCGTAGGGTAGTTTCCCCCCCCCCCCCCCCTTTTTCCCCATTCCCCCCTTAAAAAAAAAAACTTGAAAACAAAAGCACTGATTGAGGTTTGCATGAGTGCATACATGCATACATGTACATGTAGAGTGAGTTCTGTGCTGGAATGTATATCCTTTTTGGAGTGACATTATGACATTGTGAGGCCAATATGCTTGAGGAGGTGTTTTAGTGGGCAGGGCAGGCAGGGAGGTGAAACACTGAGAGGTTTGGCAGGTGGGTCGTACACTACAGCTTAGAAGCGAATAAAGGTAGCGTCGATCTGGCGCACAGTGGGCAGTGCCAGCATGATCTTTCTTCTGTACTGAGGATCTTTCTGTAGAGGGTTCCGCTCCAGGTACACCGTCTCCAGGGACTTGGCATTCTTCAGCTCGTCAAGATCCGACCAGTTGTCTATCTGGTTATCGTTCATCTGAGGAGAGATTCAAAATACGACGCAAGCACAAGTTAAGAAGTTTGACTTTTAGTGCCTTTCTCAATTTGTATCAGAAGTATAGCAGTTTGGAGCTTTTATTTTTAGATAATCGAGTCGGTGTGTTCACACCGAAGACGGCTTCTGTAAAAAAAAAAAAAAAAAAAATGTTCAGGTGGAGTTTTGGATTGACACAGAATCAGGGTGGATGGGTTGAGCAGACAAGACATGAGATGTAAGGGTAAGATGAGTTTGGAGAGGAAGTGTAATCTACAAAGCAAGAACAGCAGCAGCAGCAGCATCAGAGTCTAAGTGAAAGAAGAGATTTTCCAGTGACTGTCTAATCTGAAAAGTGCAGTGATCAGCAGAATCTGATAAGATATTGAGGACAAAGCACAAATTGCCTCGTATTTAAAGCACTGAGTGAATTTTGACTGCTAGCCTCCAATTCAAGACAGAGTTCAACCAGGTACTCCTTTGGTGTATAGAGGGTCGAGCCACGAGACATTCAAGCATGCGCTCCTGCCAGAGCTTTCGAGATTCACGCCACATGCCTTCTTTACCGTCACCGACTCAGCTGTATGCTCTGATATGGATGCTGATAATGAGGCCTTGCTTTCCCTAGGGCCACGCACACAAGGTTTTCCCTTCCGTTTTCTGCGAATACTTCTGTATTTATATATAGCCTTCCTCTTGTTTTGAAAACAGCAGTTGGTTTATTTGTTGGTAATATCCTATGATTGTTAGGTAGTCTGAGATTAAAACAATCCAAGAAGCTTTGTAGAGCAAATTTACCATCACACACGGTGTTTTTGTTCAGAGGTAAAAACTCTGGACCAAAAATGTTCTACAGCAATAACCTTCAATTTACAGTATTAGTTACCTTATGGGCAAATGCAAAAGAAAATACTGGTTGCAGCTGCCCAAATATGCTAATTTTATGTTTCAATAAGCAGCAGTAAGTCACAGTCTGTTTACAGAGGACACACAACTCGGTTAAGGCGTATCAAGTTGATTTTCCAACACTTGGTTTCTTGAAGTCTCGGTTAGCTATATATTCAGTCACATTCAATAAATTAGCATATGAGGTAGGACAAGGCCGTTTTAAAAAAAAGAAACAGACGAAATAACGCACCAGACCGTGCTTTACCGCTCAGTGAAATCATATAAACGTCATCTGAAAGCTAAATTGTAAATGCTATTCTTAACCTCAAAACATTCCATACCCAGAACTCCTGCAGCTCTGTCAGGTGGCTGACGTTCTCAATTTTCTTTACTCGATTGGCAGCAACGTCCAGCGTGGTGAGTTTTTTCTGTAGAAAAAAAAATAAGAATACAGTAATGAGCATTAACAAAAATGCTCATCAAGCTGCTGGGACATTTGTGTGCCGTTAAACAGTCTGTCATGTGGCCCTTATTGGTAAACAGAAGCTTGCATAACTCACGTTGTTCTCCAGGCCCTCTATGACCTCAATGCCATTGTGGCTCAGGTAGAGTTCTTTCAGGTTGACCAGGTTCTGTAGTCCCTCGATTTTAGTAATCCGGTTACTCTGCAGAGGAATACGCAGGAAAGTATTGATCACTCTTCTTTTAACATTCCTGAGGTGGTGAAAATACTGTGTTTGCAGGTACCTGAATGCTTAAAACAGTCAGGTTGTGTAAACTGTCCAGATTCTGAAGCTTTGTTATTTTATTGGTTCCAAGAAACAAACTCTGCAATGACGAAAGAGCGTCTAGGTTCTCGATGACCTGCGAATACAAGACATGGTCAAATTAAAATTGCATGGTGTTATTTTATGGATGGTTTAAGAATGCAACTTAAAGAGACTCTCTTGGACTTACCCTAATACGATTGGAGCCCAGCTCCAACATTTCCAGACTTGTGAGGTGGTCCATGTTGGAGATGGCGGTGACCTTGTTGTGAACCAGGAAGAGTTTTTTAATTTTGGTCAACCCCTCCAAATTCTCCACTTTCCTCAGAATGTTAAAGGAAACGTCAAGCAACCTGTGGGTAGATTGTCACCAAAAAATATATATATATATATTTTAGTCAACATCAGGTAGGTATTTTCAGGCTTAAATACACATATTTCCTCTAACCACACTTACTCTAATTCTTTGAGGTTGCTCAGGTTCTCTAGTTTGCGGATCTGATTGTCGTAGAGATCTAGTTCTTGTAGCAAACTCAAACTCTCAAGGTTTTCTATCTTTTTGATGAGGTTCTGTCTTAAGGATAGTGTCTGGACAAGCAGAGAGAAAAAGAAAAAAAAAAAACAACTGTCATTTTGAAGAAAAAAAAAAAAGCCTCCCAGAATATGATCTATTTTTATAGATCAAAGGAGTACAAAAATAAACTCAGTTTTGCATACTGCACTCACATCTCTACTTACAAAATCAATAAAACCTAAATATTCAGCTTGCTTACTTTGGCCTTCTGTAGAACTTCCAATCCTTCGATTTTTCCAATACGACAATGAACAAGATCAACATCCTAGAGAGAATAGGAGAACATCAGCTGACAATGCACAAGACATTAAAGGTATGCATTTATATGACAATAATAAAAAATAAAAAAAAATAACAGGGAAAAAAATGCTTTCATGAAAACATCTTCTAACCTCTTCTTCTGGGTCCAAGGTTATGGTGTCCATGTCAACAGGGGACTCTTCTTTACCTTCATAGAGAACAAAATTACACTTAGGAGAAAAAAAAATGGAAAGGCAATGTAAATTAGCATAGAAAAATTTAACCCACAGGAGCTGCTAGGCCCCGCTTTTAATCAACTATGTGATTCAGAAACATAAATAAATCAGTTCCTGGCTGTTTATGTGGGAGCAAAGCGTGACTCACTTGTGCCTGCGGGCTGATTTGGGTCCACATCCCCGTTGATACTCCTTCTTCTGGTGTCATCATCACCAGACTCTTCAGACTCACCTCGTCGGTCCACTGACATAAAGAGCAAGATTTATTGTGTTACAAAGCAGCAGAGCTTTTGGATAGATACACATAATAAATTGGGTGATGATTTTACATGTCATTCAACGCCAATCTCAATTTCGGTTACTGAGCTTATTAGGTGAATCTGTGACTGCTGTCGTTGCTCCAGTGTGGCTGCAGTAACAGCTTTTTATTTACTTCGGATTACAGTTTTGAGAATAGTCAAAGATGATGTAACTATGCCCAAAAATATCATTCGCTGTCTACTTTTAGCGACAGAGCTGAAGCAGTCAGAAAATGTAAATACTTTAAATTTAACAAGTTTCAGTGCAACCTGAGTCAGCGCAGAATTTCTACTTTCAAAAAGCTGCAGCTCTCCTGATATGTAGCTCTCACAGATGAACCTAGTATCAGTTCAGGGCTACACTGATGATATTTAAGAAGAAATATAATGTTTCTTACAGCTCTGGTGAAAATGTTGCCAACACACCTTACTGAGAAATCAGAGGATGGCTCGAGAGGCACCCAGGGCTGGCTGAAAGCTACTCGTGACCATTACATTTATTATGAGAATACACGGTGTGCCCTTTGTAGCAAACACTGGTTAAGTGTACGAAAAAGTTAACACTTCACCCCCACAGACTTAAAATAATGGCTTAAGGATCACTTGATGTAATGTCTCGGCAACATTTTGATTCTTACCAATTCGTTAGCGAAGATGAGCGATTTCAAATTTGCAGACTCAACAGACTGCTAAACATGCTAGGTAGCTCGGCAACTGACTGGACTACAGCTAATGAGCGAAAGTCGAAGCATATTAAAAGCAAATACGGTACGAATAATACAGGTATTCGTGTTTCCTACAACACTGCACTAGCATATACACCAACAACCGTGCATAAACACAAACTGACCAGATGTTAGATAAATAACGTCAGCTAACGCCTTGTGTTAGCTAACAAAACCAGGATGAAGGTCTGGGTCTTTCAAGAATAACGGCCCAACCAGACCGCCAAAATTAAGCAACACACAACCTGTTTTAAATAGTTTATACTCTCCCCAAACCGTACAGCCAGATCACGATGGCTTCTTTGAACATTTTTATACTCACCTTCCATTTCTTGATGCTCTCCAACAGACAGAGAAGCCATGTTTCATGTAAACACTCCTGACAACCGCTTGGCCAATCCTGTGGAAGTAGTTACTACCCTCGAACAGAAGAGGACGCTGTTGCTAAAAAAAACAAAAAAACACGATGAGTAAACACAACAGTTCTCCAGTGCTTTTTTTCAGTATACTTTTATATTTTAACTATTACATTTAGGTGTGGCAGATAATAATTACATTGCTGTTTAAAGGTATTTCTACACGTTGTCACATTAAAACCTCAGAATTTAATGTATAATGTTTTGATAGAGAACAAAGCACCTCACAATTGTAAAGTGGACTGAAAATTCTAAAATATTTTGTTTCTTTTTTTTTGTCATTTTGACAAATGAAAAGGTTATTGTGTGCAGCTGTTTTAGCTCGTTTGAGTCAATACTGTATTTCTTTTTGTGTATCAACCTTACACATATTTACAGATTCAGCCCACTCATCTGTGCAAAATAGCTCAAGTTCAGTCTGAGTCTTTTTTAGACTCTCTTGTGTAGAAGGCAGGTTGAAAAAGCTTCCCAATCTCTTCCTGTTATTTGTTACTATCTCCCCAACATGCATGCTGTTTTGTTGCAAAACAAAAACAAGGAAATATTTTGTTCCTGAGATAGTTTCAGCTAGAAAACACCCTCTGTTGACATCATGCGTGTGTATGTGGTGTACTAACTTGTTGTTTTTGTTTAAATCAAGAGCAATTTTCTTTCAACGTTCGACCAACAAGTTCATAACTTCTCAGTATTCAGTAGTGACCCCTACTTTATCATATTGCCTTAACAAAATGCCAGTCCAACCGATTTCTCCTTGACACAAAAGCTTTATCTTTATTGCAGAACATGACGTTTGCTCCACAAACCTGTTAGAAAATTTTTTTTAGAAACTATAAAAGCAAGGTCTAATTAGTAACAGGTCATTCTGTAAAACGTAAAGCATGTCAGAGTAGAGTAACAGCTCAATCATAAGTTAAGGAATATTGGTTATGCTAACATATCAGTATGAATTTCACAGCAACAATCTCAACAGGATAAGTTCCTGCGGTCAGTAACAATATAATAGAACAAAAGCCTTACTGAATTTCATAAAGCTTAACTGGCTGCCTTCTAAAAAGCAGTATTCTCCCACAGCACTTTGTTTATACAGGCACTTCCCATCTGCATAGCTTCCCCTTTTAGAACACGCCTGCACAAGATCGAGGCCCTTACAGTTGTCCAAGGCCTATTTAAGACATTAGGATCCAAACAATTCTTCCTTATCACTTCAAAACCTTTCCTGAATACCACTGGAATGGTAATAATAATCTTTTCAAAGCAAAAAAAAAGAGCTTTGCATATGAAGTTTAATTTTTTTCCTCTGTTTTTACATGTTTTTTTTTTTTGTGGGTTCTCATATTTCCTTCAGAAATCCAGTGACAGGTTTGCTGGGCATTTCAAAACAAACTTTACATCAATAAATGAGATTGTGTGTAAGTAGTTTTTGATTCTTTGATGGGTTTTGATAGCTCTCACCTCTAGGCAACACTTAATGTGGGAAACATGTTTTACATGTTCTATGTATACACATAAACAGAAAAGCAATTATTGCTGCAATGTTCTCTTACAAAAATATACGTGTCAGAGTGAAAAGATCTTTTTGGCTCACTCGTTTGTAAGTAGCTGGTGTTATTTGTCGCAGACTAAAAACCTTGAAGTAAGAAAAAAGAACAAAACGAACAGCCATTTATTTTTATTGATAATTAATCTGTGTCGCAATGGCTACAAATAAATTTGGAGAGCAACTACACGGAACCCGGGGATGAATAACATTAAGGTTTCTTCGCATGGTTCTGGTGAAGCAAAAACTTTCCGCTCCTCTTCTGTGTTTCTTTCAAGTATTTCAGAAAAGAACGCCTCCAAGCAATTAACCTTTAGTTCTCTCTTAGCTCCTCCTTTTTGCTCAGGGCTTTACTGATATTTCCTTGAAAAACCTTAAAGAGCAAAGAAAAAGTTTGTGTTGCTATGTGAACTTACATGTTACTACATGTAACATTAAGAGAAGAGTTACAATCGTCACTTAAGCTTAGAAAGCAGAATAAATAAAGATAAAACCATGTATTCGCATGAGAAGTAATATATTTGTTTATAAAGAAGAAAGCACCTCTCTTCTTTTCATCAACAAAATATTATGTCTGCAATATTATAAAGAAATTAAAGGTATCTTGGATTCATCTTAATGCAGAATACATGGATGTTGTATTAACATTAACTTTAACTCTTTCATTTCTCACAAAAATATGCATGATTAATACTTAAAGGCAAAGTAATTTATCCTACTTAGTTTTCACTTTCACCCACCACTATCTAAAAATATCCATGGGAGGTTAATAGCGGATTCCAGACTGAAGGTAGGACAAATCAGAACAGCTAAGGAATGCTTTACCCGCTTCTGAAAAACCGGAAAGTTCAAAAGACAGAAAAAAATATAGATATTTAAAAAGGAAGAACAGGATTTCATAGTTTTTTCCTGCTTATTGGACTATCAAACACAAATCTTTTGAAGGAGGTTGCATAGTTGTGTATGTGTGAACAATGTAAGAGAAACAAATTGCCAGAAGTGCAAATTTGAACAAATATGTGCAACCTCTGATATATGGTGGCATGTAAATAGCTCCAGAGCCAATAAAATGTTTTTGCAGGGTGCCATAAACAAAGCACAGGAGATAACTCACGACGACCAGCTCTGGCAAATTCACCTCTCACTGCGCTTCAGCAAAGAAATATTGTAAAGGTCAGCTCACTCTGCAGGACAACACAGACGTCGTATTTTCAAAGACAGAGAAAGAAAATGAAAGTGGAGCACTCTAAATAGATTTTATTTTGTGCAAAGAACCATTGCTCACTTTTAGCTAAACTTTCGCATTTGATCTGTGTGACTCATCTTTAGTTTTATCACCTCTTTGGTATTCAGAGCCGGCTGTTTTAACATAATGTCCGCGTTGCTGAGAAAAGGGGCGGGGAGTGTTCTGTGTTGTCAGTCCCTGCCTGTCAAGCAGCGTCTTTTAAATGTTGTAGTTGATGTGCTGGACTAATTCTTTGCTCTCTTCTTGAATGGCTTAACATAACCCTGGCTATCTTGAACCTGTTGGATCCTTCTAAACGCTGAAACTGTTCAAATTGAGACGGACAAAGAGCAGTCGCCACAGAAATGCGTTTCTTTGCCTTTGTTTTCATTTTTTTCAAACATTTATCGAGCGCCCTTCCTCTTCACGTCGGTAAGAAACTCAACATCGCTTTTCATTCGGTTAAGAGAATAAACAAGAAACGTGTGAAAAATCTTTAAACTGTTTACCTTAGACCTGACTGGGTGGTTAGGATATTCCAACGACACCTTTTTAAAAGTGACGGCGGCAACATTTGTTGAGGTTTTGTGCACGGTGCGCAGTGGCGTTTAATGTGTATACATCAGACTGAGAGTTCAGCTCCAGTGTCATCCTTCATGAAGCAAACAAAAAGTACCAGATTAATGTCAACAAGGTGAAGTAACCTGCATAGATGGTCAAAATCTCATCTGTTCTGTTGGACTCACTGGACTAATATGATAGAGATGCAGTTCATTTTAAATGTTGCTTTTCTTAGAAAAAAAAAAAAAAAGATGCAACAAAAACAGTTGCACATTGGAGCATATTGCTAGGGAGGTATTTGTTCATTCAGGGCTTTTGCTTTTACTGTTTGCTTTTACACGGGCAGATCAGCATACATACAGGAGACATTGAGTTCAGTAGGTCTTTATGTTATCTGTTGGTAAAAGGACCTAGACCTAAAAAAATAAATAAAAATGGACAACTGCCAAAACCGCAAAGGCACAAAATCGCAAACTCACTACCTCGCTGAGGTGATACAAGTTGCATAGATGGCCAATAGTTTATCTGTTCTCTTAGACTGGAATAACATGAAACAAATGCAGCTATTTTTAAATCTTACATTCCTTAGGATAAAAAAAAAATAATACAACTGTTAAAACTACAGGAGGAGCTTAGAGCCTATTATTCAGAATATCATTAGGATTTTGCTTTTACTTTTTGTTTTGACTCAATGTTGAAGCTAAAAATGAAATCTATTTGTTTTGATCAGAATAAAACACCTGAAAAACTGTACGTTTCCAATTTGCCAATATTGATCAGTAAGGATATATATATATATATATATTTAACTTAGTTATTTTTAATCAAGAATATCTGATTTTCAATGCTTATATCTGATTTTTCCCCTTTTTTTGATCCCTTTCCTGTGTCCTTTCAGATGCCATCATAGTTCAGATCCAGCAGTCGGGGGTGGTAGGAGCTCAGCATGTCACAGAGCAAGTTTTGCTCAATGGAATTTCTCTCTCAAGCCCAAGCTGGGAGGTCCAGAGCATAATTAAAAGCATGTCCACCAGTGACCTCCTACCTGATGGGATCTGCAATAACCACACTTCAGTTCTAAGTAAGATGACCCTGATTTTGTGCAAACCAGATAATTATGACGCAGTTTTATAATAATCTGTGTATGTTGATGCTCTCCCTTTAGGAAATCATACTGTCCTTCGCTCTCGGGAATGCATCATAGAGGGCTCTCGGCTCCACTGGTCTGATCGGGTGTTTTGTGACGGCAAGGTCTTCCTGACCCTGGAGTACAACAACACATGGACAGCCCATGTGCCAAAGGCAAAGGCCATCAAAAACTTGTGGAACCAGGAAGTGGAACATTTAAAGATCGAGAGACGTCGTCTGCAGGAGGGCTGCATTCAGCTGATGAAGGAACTGAAACTTTCGGAGGAAGAGTCAGGTATTGTTTTTTTTTTTTTTTTCCAAAATTTTTTTTTACTGAACTTTAGCAGATCTTTTTTATTTGTCTCCTGCTTTATTATTAAGAAGATAAGTTGTCCTGGTGATTTATAAAAGTGCATCTTTCCATAAGATGCAGGTCGTGTAGTCAGTTTGCCTTTTTGTGCCCCTGTAGCTCTACCACCTGTCTTTTTCAGGAATAAAAAGGTCCTGTTGACAACCAATATCATAAAACCTACTCAATGTCTACTTAATGAGCATTAGCATTT